CATGAAAGATGGGTTCTTGACTGCAAAGTCATATCAGTGAGATTTCTTTCTTAGTACTTTATCATTGTTTCTTTTCTCTTGTAAGGTCTTGATACCCATTTCAAATGCCTACCCTTGGCTAAATATTTAAGGGCCTGCATTGTTACTTACAGTTGTCTGCAATTGCTAGGTCACTGTTTCTATTTATTTATAATAGCATATTGCTCATTAAAAGGCAGGATTTGTTGCTCTACTTTCCTCCAAACTGCCTCAGTTCTAAAACAGAAATCACTGTGGTAATTTTTCTATATTTTCTATTTTTATATTTTATATAAGTAGTAGCATCTTTCTAATGGATTTTAATAATCTACTCTAACTGGAAGTACTTGGAAGTATTTTCTCAGTAAGAAAACCTTGCACTTAAAGCATCATAAACAGGCAATTCTTTCAATAGTTTTGAATAAGACTGTGGACTGTATGCGATAGACAGGAAAGCCAGATGTGGCACCAGCTTTGTATGAATTAGAAGACTATACTCTTCCTACACACAGTTCTATGAGGAAGCCATGTGATGGATGAATAATTTGGCTTATTTAGGCATTGTAATTTTGTTCTGCTACAAGGGTAGAGCCAAAATTGATTGAGGGCTGCTCAAGGACAGAATTTCTGTTCAATTACTTTGATTGTTTATGAAGTAGGAGAGTGCCTGTGGTGTCTATGTCACCAAAGTTTATATTTTCCATAATTTTTTTAACACATTTTATTCAGTGATTCATGTTTTCTTGAATGCTGTTTATCGATCTGATCTGTAAGTTAACGAAGACTCATTTTGGAATGGCATAGAGATCCATTTATAAATGAAATGATTTCATGGTACTTATATAGAAAGCTTTTTGATGGACAGGAAGATTGCCAACATGGAAAAATGTATTAGAAATGCAGAAGTGTGTTATGATAAATATAGCACTCATAGGTGGGGTTAAAGGCTGTGATATAGCTGTGTGCATTCAGATTTATTTACTGCACAGAAATGAATCCCAAATGGCTATTTTTGCTTCACTGACTGTAATCCCAGCAAGGCAGCCTCATAGACATCTGCTAAGGTTTTTTATTATTATTTGGTTAAGATTTTGAGATTGAGGTGAGAAAAATCCAACTGTCACCTAGAAATGACCTCAAGGGGGTTTCACAGATTTGTCCAACATGTTTTTCACAGATTTCTACAGGCTTAGATATATTCCTTGCTCCAAAGTGCTTCAGGCTGTGGCTACTCACATTTTCTAAAAGATAATGGACTGATATATGTGGTGTGCTGTTTAACCTTTACTCAGTCAAGCTTTTTTCAAAATATGAAGGATAAAGACCAAGCAAGGGACAAATTGCCCCACATTCTTCTTCAGTAGGCATTGAAAGATACATCAGTTAATCCACTGTTAAGTCTGCAAATAATTCCGTATGCTAAGTAGCCCCTCGCATTCATAGCCATTGGACTCACTCTCAAAATATTAATAACTGTTATAAGATTTTGGGATATACTAGAACAATTTATTTCCCAGTGGGCTTCTTATCTAAATCTAAACAAGATCAAGTCTTCACATGTTTATTTAGCCAGTATACTGTTGCAGTCTATCTGAGAACTTTCTGCGTCTTGCTGCTTCTCAGTTAGGAGAAGGAGGAAAGAGCGTAGAGACCAGATAGCGCTTCCAACCGTGCTATTGTTGTGCCACACAGTTATCTGACAGTAATAACATGAAGCAGAAACATTTAGGTTCTCCTTTCTTTTTCATTTAAGTAAATGCATGCTGATAAAATTCTAATGAAAAGGAATCAGAGCACAGGAGCGAGTGACTTATTATGGAAATTTTCTGTGATGCATTGTAATGTTGGATTTTCAATTTTTAAAAGTGGTTACATTCCTAATTGGCGAACAAAAAGGACCAATTTATCCCTTGCTGCGAGAAACATTTTTCTTATATATTATCCTCATGAAGCCTCTAATTCAGCCAAACACATTATGTAAATGGAACCTCTGAAATACCTTCTAAAATATACATCAGATTTACATTACTAGACTGTTATGTTAGATTGAGCAAGGGCCCTTGTTACACGATATGGCAAATTTTTTGACTTTCATAATATTCCTTTCTAAAATAAATTGTGTTTGGTTCAAGCAAGGCTTCTATTAATAACTCTTGGGGTTATCCTAAATGAGTATTTACTAGCTTCACCCAGGCATTATGAACATAATCTCTACATCTTTGTCTTTACTGATTTCAGGAACAAAACTTTCATATCTCTTTTAAACTAGAAGTGCTTTCTTTTGATACAAAATCTGCATATGTTGGAATGCAGTGACTGTTCCAATGCCAAATGAATTTGGATAAATCTGCATTGCATACAGATTGAGTTTCTCAAAGCCTTATGACACAGATACTGTGGGCTGCAAAATTAGCGGACAGTGTAATAGCTGTGAAAGCTAAGCTTGTGTTTTGTGACACAGTCAGAACCCAGACTTATATTTAGTTTGTGTGCATTGCTTGCGAGTCTGATAGTGTTAAAAGATAGCACATTTTAACATTAATGTCGTTCCTAAAGATGCAGTTTAAATGTGTACATATATGGCTGTGCCCCTTCTGGAGAATATAGTTTGATTTCAAACAGTTGTAATATATTAAGAAGCAAAATTGATTGTCACAAAATAATTTACATTAGTAACTGATTGTAGTAGTTCATTTGCGTAGTGACTTGCTGTTAGTCTTGGTTTCATGCAACTTTAGGTGAAAGTGTTAATAACGCCATTTTCATTTTTGGCCTGGGTATTTTTAAGATACTCAGCTTTTGATGGCTTTCTCTTGTGGATCTCTCCTCACACATAAGATATATTTTGTCTTCGAAATGAAGGTCAGAGAGGTGTGAATTTAGATCCAGGGAGCTTCCCATGAAACTAAAAAGTTACTCAGATACTGAAGCAATAAAAATGAGCAATTAACCCTAAAAGAGAGATATCCATTACAGCCATAGGCAAATTTGAATATATCTGCATTTCAGGAAGAAATCTTTGGGGTGTTTTTCTTAAGGTTACATTTGACTGGTGAGCCATGTGGACTTTTGCACCACAGGGACAAGATAACGGCTCCACAAGCTCTCTGTAATGATTTTGCGACCATCCAAAGCTAAAATGATACAGATCAGCTTCTCATTTTGCCTTACAGCTGTCTTTTTAAAATTATTATTTGTTACATTCAGAACAGCAAGTGGGCAACTAATAAGGATTAGTAATGGGGAGGTTTTATTTAATTCAGTTTTTAAGCTGCTTTATTCAACAAAATCCTTAAAACACAGAGATTATCTTTTTGGAGATACCAACACACTGCCATGAATTCTATAGTATGTGCAAGTCTAAAGGATATTTTCATGGAAGATTAAATGCTTATATACAGTATCTGAACTTATTATTGATTACATTTTGCAGTTGTATTCCCACATTGAGGGCTTGGTGATCTACTGTTTCAGTGGGTTTTCAAAGCATCGTCTAGCAGGATTTATAGAAGTTATAGCAGTACTGCTAACTAATGATTTTATCACAAGTCCTGCTGTATTTGATGTTGTATTTTAATACCTGTCTCCTGGAGTACAGTGAATATGTGAGAATTCCTCCTTCTATTTTTAAAAACAATTCTCTTTCTTCCTAATTACTAAAAAAATTTAACATTTAACCCATTTCTACCTGTTTTTGCCCACAGACAAGGAGTGGAGTAAAAGGACTAAAGTAGTTAAGCATTTGAATGGGAATCTCACTGTTCTTTTCAGCTTTACACATCTCTCTCTATTTTTCCAATTTTGATACTTGAGGTTAGTAATGCTCAAGGAGAAGAGATAAGCAAGTAGTATTGTATAACACTTACAGAGCACATAACTTTATCAAAGGGGTTATAGTCATTATTTTGGAATTGACAGTTAAGGTATGTGCATCAGGAGTCAGCAGAAGTTAACTTATATTAGAGCAAACCCATTAGGTTTATCATTGTGTTCCTGCAGTGAAGACACATTTCATGTGTATGTAATATGTCCTATATTACTCATTTTTTCTTTCACGTCCAGTGTATTGGTCCTGAGCAGGATTTTGGGAGCCGCTGCCCCTCCTTGCTGTGGCCACAGCTGGAGAGTTTCTGAGTGCAGGCCAGCTCAGGAGTAAAACTATTTATCCTTACTTATTGCAAGTGTTTCCTCTCTGCATCTCCACAAAGAATATCCTGTCAAGCTTGGGATACCCATATTTAGTTGTCTCCATGTAGGTGTCTGCATGTGTGGCAGGTGTCTAAGCTCCCATAACGGTCCATGGAGATTTGGTCCATGCAGACAATGGAGCCAAGCGGGTGATTCAGCTCACCCTAGTGTAGATACCTGGAGGCTGATCAGCTCCAATGTCCAGAGTGTATTGACTATAATGGGAATTTCTCGCTTAGCGTGCAGGTAGGTATTTATACATAGAACTGAAGTTTAGGTGCGTTGTTCCCAAATTGAATCCCATACCTCTGACCAGCAGCTGAATTATTTTGCTCATTGTTACTAAGGGAATGCCCTCTATGTAGTGTTCCAGTGGCTGCCTTGAGAGGCTGAAGGCACAGGGTGGTCTTCACAAAGTCCTATTTAACTTTCCTAGCTGGTCACATTTCTATTTAATCCTACCTACCACCATTTGATGTTTTACCATATGTGATCTTACCCCATGCAAAGAATTTCTGTTACTAAAGCACTTTTCTTGCTTTAGGTTCCAGTTTTCAGTAAAGTTTCAACTTTCAGTAAAAACCTATTTCATTTTCCTTGCATCTCATTCATGTTAGAAACCATCTCTTTTAAAAAGTGCTGCAATATGCCAGGCTAAATTCTGTCTTTACGTACGTAATAATCTTGTGTATTACTAACGAAAAATTATTATAAAATTAGAAGTTTGAGACAAAGTTTTTTGTGGAGTTTGGTCCAGTCCTTGTTCATCATTTTCACTGTTTTGTTTTTAACAGGAGTCCTGTACTTGTGTTCCAGTGCGTGCATCGCCATGTTATTTGCCTAGATTGTTTCCATTTGTACTGTGTGACTATGCTGAATGACCGTCAGTTCATCCATGACCCGGAGCTTGGCTATTCCCTCCCTTGCGTAGGTATGTTTTAGCTGATTTTCTTTTTAAAAATTTATGTGATTTTTATTTCAGGGCAAGATTTTTTTATCACCTGTTAGTTTTAAGTATATCTGTGGAATTATACTGTTTTCATAGGAGTTGTTTCGTTTCATGGAGAAAATATTTGAATATTGAAGTGGTTCTTGCTGAGTATGTGAACTGGAGAATTAACTGAATTCCAAAGGGCATTTATCTTAAAAGCAAATGCATACTTTCTTCACATTAGTATTTTATAATCATGAAGTGTTAGCAGGTGATAGCATTACACTCTGGTTAAAAACAACCACCTTGACCTCCACATTTCCACTTTCAAATTAAGTAAATTGTTAACTTTCTTGGCCTGTCGTCAACTACTAATAGAAAAAGGACTGCAATCACCCTGAGAAGATGGTAGATTATCTGTTTTACCTGAGTAGGAAACAAAGTTTGAGTTAACTAAACAAAGGCTTAGACTGAATCTGGAAGATGTGTTTTGAGAATTGATTCAATTACACTGGCACATGGACTGCAAAATTCTCAAAAATTTTGCTGTGAAGAAATATATTAGAATTTATTTTTCGTTTGCTAAATTTGCATATGTGCATGTATGTTTGTCACAAGTACTGTACAGTGGTATGAGAACCATTTTGCAGCATATTAGAAGCTGCATAGAAGATGGGTTTGCGTGGTTACCTGAATGGCTGACAAATAAGTTTCAAATCACTAGATGGGAGAAAAATTGACAAAATTTCATAGGAGAGTGGCGCTTACTTAATGTGAGGACATGCCTTGAGGATATTGAAGATATAGTAGTAAGAACCATTTAAAATTATTTCTTTTTAATGGCTTCAGACGCAATCTAACAATGGTCATCAGTTCACATTTCACTAGAATTGCTGTTCATGTGCTGTCTCACCAGGTCTCATTTTACTTGCCCCCCAACAGTTTGCTCTGCTACTTCATTTACACACTGATGTCATACTGCACAAAACACTTTTTAATGTTGTGTAAGAAAACTTGTCACGAGGAACCTAACAGGAACTTTATACCCAGTGCTCTTACCTTGACATTACTGTAGGACTGTGTGGTCAGTCTGTCTCTCAGTCTCCCTCCTTGCTCCTCCAAAAGTTAATCCATTTTCTGCTCCCACACAAATTAATCAGCTACTTGAGATTAATCCATCCTTCTCCCTCCTCGTTTTTCAGTTCTCTTCATGCTGCACAAAACTTGTATTAGGATTTTTCCATAGATTTTGCAACTCTAGTTGTTCAGTTCAGTTTTATCTGTCCTTTTTTCTCAGAGAGGAGGCTAAGAAGTTTGCAGAGGTTTTCACCCCTGGCTGGCAGTAGCAAGGCCGTCTTTTTCTCTCTTCTATGTGTTGAAGTTGAACACTATGGGGATGGAGCAGTAGAAGCAGAGTAGGGATGGGATGAGGAGAAAATGCAAGAAGACAGAGCTGAAATGCTCAGGGATGCGATTTCAGTCTTTGAGAGGTGAGGAAGGTACAGGCTTGGCCTAAGAAAGGGATACCATAAAGGATGCACAAAGGATGACTGTACTTTTACTGTTCAAGTGAGATAGGGTTCAGCTGTGGCAATGGAAAAGCAGCTATTGCTGCCAATCTAGCCTCAGCTGTGTTATGCTTTAAGTGTTAAAATAGCTAAATATGGAAATGCTAAAATATTGCTAATCTTAAAGTTTCAGAGCTCCCCAAATCAGAAAGTTTTTTTCAAAATTCTGTACATTAAAGTAGTACTAGTAGTAGTCGTAGTAGTAATAATACAATTGCGATACGTTTTCTCTCTGTTCTCCAGTTAGTAAGAATGTTTCTTGGAAAAATTTCTGCAGAGGTGCTGCCCTGTGCCAGTGGAGTGCATAGTTTAGGTGTGCCGCAGTGCAGTGCAGTGTTGTGCACTACAGAGATTCTTGAGCTAGAGCTGAATCGTGATGCTGAAGGGAAGGAAGTATAGTTGTATCACTATAGCACATAGGATGGGCTCTTTGACACTTCTGGTAGGCTGAATAGGACTGACCAGGCAAATACTACTTCAGGACCTGTGCTAGTATCCCTGCAGAGTGATGTGTGGTGCTGTCTAGGCATACCTGCTTGCTCAGAGCCAGCCTGATTATCTCTAAGAAGTATTGACCTTATACTGTGCTGGCATGCTTTGTGTTAGAGAGGTTCTCAGTCACAGTCTCTGAGTATTCAGCGGTTTTAAGTAATATTCCATCTAAACCTAAAATTGATTGCTACCTCCGTCAGTTCTCTTTGTTGTGTTGGCAGTTCTGTATCAATAAAAGCGTTTTGTAAGCATTATCTTTCAGACTGCTTTGCAGGATGAGGAATCTAATCAGTGCTGTTGTAACTTCACTGGTTCATTTCTGCAGCTACCTGAACCTGAGTTTCTCGTATGCAAGACGTTTGGTTGTTTCTAGAATTAGGTCATATTTGAGTTAGGAACTGATGACTATTTTTTGTCCTTTGAGAAAGTCATGAAGCTGAGTTGCATCACACCTGTGAAGAAGAGGAATGCCTGATTTGCCAACCCCTTCTCTCTTACTGTTCAGCTACGATGGATTTTAGCCTCCTTCATAGCTATGGATCAAGAAGCTTTCATCAGCAATGAATTCAATTAAGAAACATTCAGAACAGTATTATGTGATTTTCTTTTCCACTTATCATGGCACTCCTACTGAATAGTAGAAGATTGCATTTTTGCAATCTACAGTTTGCAATCTTCATTTTTGCAACTGCAATTTGCAATTTGTATTTACATGTGAGGACAATAAAGCACTGTTTGACACAACTTTCTGTAATTACCTCAGTGAAGCCTAAAATGAATTCCCCTTAACAGGAATGAATACCATGGGACATGCCAAGAAAAGTCTTACTGTGGCAATGTTGGTTTAATACATGTTATCTCTAACAGAGCATGACTCAAAGCAAAAAATGTTAGATCTGAGCTTTATTGAAAGGTTAGATGTCGATCTGAGCCTGCTTCTAAAAGGAATACAAAACAAAGTCATATTTACTGTAATGAGATTTATGTTATGGTAGGTTACCAGGTTGCACAGACAGATCAAAACAGTCTGTACTAATACATGTATTTTTAAACATCACAGACTAATGCTGAACTAGTGTTTATGGTGTCTTGAACAGAAAATACCAATGTTCTGAGTTTGGACTTAGTAAAAATTATTTTACTTTTCCATTTTCCTGTAACAATGGATTTTCTTAAAAACTAGCCCACGTCTTCAAGGCACGTGTGCACACATTGCCCCAGCACTGTACAGGAGGGTTTGGTTTTGTAATTAAGCCTATTTAAATTGTTTGCACTTCCAATTAGTTCTGTTCATTCTAGTGTTTTTCAAAAGTAGAGGTAACATAATGAACATAGCCTGCAGTTTCCATTAACATTTGACTCACTGTTCCCGATTTTTATCAAGGGAACGTACCAACATAGCAAGTTTTTTATATCTTTTATTGGATCAATCTAGAGGTGAAAGCACCGCACACACAACAGAATAAAAATAAACAGCAGCTGCTAAAGCAAAGGGTCACTGTGACAGACGAGATCAGTGTTATCACATGTGTAGGATAACTTGAGCTGGAAAGGATCTAGGGATTTCAGATAAACAGTGCTTCTCAAGTAGGTTTAATTTCTTGCTTCCTGGCACAGATATGCTAGAAGATGCATTTTGTGATTGCTTTCAGGTATTTTGTGTGGTTATATCCTTGCTTTTCTTTAATTTCTGTTATGTGGCCTAATTAGACAGGAGATAATATGTGTTCAGAAGGCGGCTGTTGTCTCAGCTGATGGGCTACGATAGATCACCTTGATAATGCCATAGCTTCACTTTGTTCCAACACAAAATGTGTCATTACTGTGATTTTTGGAAGAACAACATTAATTCCTTAGTGCTTAGCTGCTAATCTAGTGCCAGGCAGCACACTCCAGCTGAGAACAGCCAGTGTGGAGGACCAGAGCTCGGAGCATGGTAACTGGTGCGTTGATAGGATTAGCTGTTCAGAGTAGTGTGGCAGCAGCCCCATGATTCAAACCCACTGTATCAGCTCAGAGCAAGGACTTATAGATAGGAGCTGACTAAATTTCATTGGTCGTTAAAATAAAAAAGTAAACGTTACAGATTATACTCTCTCTGCCCTTGTTAAATGGCAACAAAAATCTATCCCATCTCTCTGTATGGTGTCTTGTATTAATGAGGCTTCATGCATAGAAATTTCCATGAGTGGTGACCTCCAAGTATCTTTGAAATAATTAATAAGGTGCTTAGAGGGACAGATTTGCATATGCATGAAAGATCATTTATGGTTATTTAGTTACTGTGCAGGGCAAAGAATCTCATAGCATTACCTCAAAGCAGGAACTGTATACAAATATACAATGTATTACCCCATTTAAACATATACTTTTCTTATGAGCACCGTTTCATTTTTAAAATAGCATTACAGCATTATGGGTCTTGGTCCCCAGGGTAAAATAAACTTCCACAGATCTTGGGCAGAAGAAAAGTTGGTGAGGCCAAGGACAAACAAGGTTTTACACTGCTGTGGGCACTTTGCAAAAATGTCTTTGCATCACTTTATTTCTTATGAGTAATCATATGCATGATGTATTTTAAAAGAATCCGGATAAAAGATGCAGTTCTACTGATGACTGTAAAACACTGTTGTATCTGGAAGTAATCTGATTTTACCACACATACATAAATAAATAAGTGAAATTACCAACAGTTTGTGTATGGAACTGCTAATAAAAGAGACTAAAGCTTTGAAGTATAATAAATTGCCTTAAGAGCCATGTTCCATTGAAAGAAAGCTTCTGGGGAGTGATTAAGGAGGCATATGTATTAAGATTAAATTTTTTATCTGCATTAGATGCTATTTGTATAATAACAGTATGTTCTTATTCCTATAGAGGATGTCAATGCAGTGGTGAATCTCTGAATCACCTTTCAAAATCATAGTACCCAAAAAGAAA